AACTAAAATAGTGTCCCAGAAATAAAATATTTAATTGCCTCGGCCATTTTGTATTATTTGCTACCCCGGGGTACCCCCATAAGGATCATATATCCCAGGGCAGCTGAAAAAAACGACGACAGGTGGCAACACTGTGTCACGCACGCAACCCCGTTAAGATCCACTAAACACCACCTCGGATTTGCCGGAGCACCAGTCGTGTGCCACCAACGGCCACGCCCTGCTCAGCATCGGAGGGCAATTCCGTTCAAGGTCTTTTCGGTCCTCGTGCATCCCGTGCTGCCTTTAAAGCCATGAGACCAGGTTGATTAAGCATCCGTGGGCAGTAGCAGGGGGGGGGGGGGGGGGGGGGGCTTGCTTAGCACAAGAGGAGCGCGAGGGATGGAGCAGAGGAGTTTGTGTCACAATTGGAGGTTTGTGTCACAATTGGAGGTTTGTGTCGTACAAGCAGGGTGTTGTGCGCCTCCGCAACCGAAGCGTGCACTCCGGAACTTTGGGCTCTGAAAGCGCTCTGTTAGCAGCGGCTGTGCGGCAGCTGCAAGGACCGCGGAGTGCGGCAGTGGTGAATCGGGGTGGGTGGGTGGGGGGTTATGGCTGTTGTCGCACTGTGAAGGCTTTTATTCTGAAAATGATGCATGCAGTCGAGTATGCACATGCAGATTTGCGCACCGATGGTCTGGCCCAGAAGCTGTTAATGAGAGACAAATGCGATCTTTCATTATGTCTCTTTATGCATTCACCAAGAAATGTTGAGTGTAATGTCAGGAATGCCAGCAGGAGAACAGAGGGCCTCTTGTTGTGCAGACTCTCCGTCTAACATGTGCAGCTGTTGACCCCTCCAATGACAAAGTGCTTTAAGCTCAAGCGAAGAACTCCTCCTACACAACGGATGTTTTCTGTGCTTGCGCCATGACACAACTTTCAAGTAATTCGGATAAACTGATGTGGCCTTGCTTGAGGTTTTGCTTGAGTTCAATGGGTGCTCTTTTGCATAAAAAAAAGCTGCTGTGCTTAGATTACCCTTTGCTCTAAATGGTTTCACCTGAGGTGCCCACATCCATCGTGCTCCCAGGGGCATGCTTTAGGCATCAGGAAACACCCACATTTATAACAACAGTAGTAGTACTTGTTTATACTGAAAGGCTCCAGTGACGATCAACACTATTTCCTTCAGAACTGCCCTGCCTCACCGAGCATTTTCGCATGTCATCGGGACACCCAAGTCTCAGGAACACTCCCACACTTACAAAGGTTGACAAACTAAAAATAATTATAGCCAGGTGATCATCCTACGTTTACTGTCCCGTCGTCTGCAGTGCACCTCAGGTGGCTCCCGCACTTGATGATCTCTGTGTGCTCCACCAACCCGACCTCCGAAGCGCTGAATGCACCGTACGCCAAGAATACCTAGCTCACATGAACCGTCGTACACTTGGGACCGGGAACAATATAGCACTGCTTGCAGCTCCAGCTGCTGGTACAGGTGGGGGCGGGTTCCATGTGCTTGTCCATCGCTGTGGCATGACGAACGCAGTGTTGTCAGATTCAATAAATTTTCCACAATTGGATTTCACCGAGATGTAGCAACTGGCATCGTACACCGAGTCCTTTTCAGAGCAGGGACAGTAGTCTTTGGAATTGCCAATAAACCTCAAAGCGGTCACTCTGCCCTGTATGGCCAGATTGCAACGTTCATGAATTGACTGATAGAAAGCAGTACAGCTCATTAATAAACAATACAGCAAGCCACTCAGTCGAGCCATTTACTCCTTTCCTTTTGAAATTATATTATGGTTTCGCTTTTGCAATGCGCTGTGGGTAATTTTCAAAGATTACGCAGAAATGGTGACAAGTGAACGGCGGGGGGGGGTTGTATGTACATGCGTGTCGAACTTCCTTCGTGCACCGTACGTAGCCAACCGTGCTAATCGGAGGTGCGGGAAATCAATGCATCTGCAGCATTCACTGTACACAAAGCAACGACTGTACACGCCGGGAGGGTCGCGCAGAGATCAGCGGCGTTGGGTAATGGCTCTTGAAGGCGCGTGGCCCTCAGCTGCTGGGATTGTGGGCAGGCAGAGCCGCACGGCGCACAAGGGTGCAAATGCTTTTTGGCTCCTTAGGGATGCTGGGCAGGGAGAGGCTGGACACGAGGCGTGGAGAAGTGTTTCTTGTGATTGTCACACATGCATCCTCCAGCCTCTTCACAGCAGTAACAGCAGGCGTCAGTACCCGATCTGCAGTCGCCACGATCTATGGCTATTTGCGCTTCTGCAAGGTCAGCAGCTCGAGATGGATCCCCAGGCGAATGCTTTTAACACAGAAGCAAAGGTTTGCTCAGACACCGTGAGACGCTTTTACGCCCCTCCCCCCCCCCATCTTCAGTGTTTACACATTTCTGGATTAATTTAGCAATCTGATGACACACTTGCTCAAGAAATATTTAACCAATTACACCGTAGAGGGATTTTCGCCAGGTGTGCGTTTTTTTCCCCGAATGTATATTTGAATGCATCGTGAAGGTGTCAGGGTTTAATCCCAACATGGGATCGTTGTATCCAAACGTGGGATTTATCTGTGTAGAGATTGCAATCTTTTTTATTGTACACATATGCGCAGCCTCACGTGAACATGGATGCTGTTGTAAAATTGCGCTATTGTATTTGTGTCAGTGCTGGAAAATGATGAATCATCACGCCAAATCTATTGTTATTATTGTCTTAACACATGCTGCTGGCAACGTGGGTTCATGGTGTCGATTGTGAAGGCTATTGGTACAAATATTTGTTTTTCTGATTTGAGAAATCACAAGTGATCTAATGATGACCCACGACATTGATTACAAGGCTTATTTTTTTGATTGGCAATTACAGGTGAAAGTTCCAGACCTATTGTGACGTTAATTACTTACTGTCAGCGCCACAAATCAGAAAATGGTAAGGGATTGACAGAGGCAAGACAGCAGACGGTAATGAGTTTCAGAAAGAGGCATGTTAGGGCAAGCTGGACGGCTCGGAAATGCAACCGACGGAAGCACTGATCACAGAAAAAGCGGGCAAATGCAAGATACGCGGCCACACGTGTTGTTTGTGTTGCCTTGTGGCAGCCTCACGGTTCACACGCTTGGGCTTTTGTGGCACCTGAGGGCTCGTGGTTTTGTGCCGTGTACTTGCACACACGCTGGGCCACAGAGCTCGACTTGGAAAGAACAGGTCCAGCCCAAGGCCATGCACGGTTTTTAGGCAAAACCAAATAGGCACTAAATTATTCAAATGCAGCTGCGTAAGTGCGTTTGTATCTTTGTTTATGTCTGTTGGGAAAAAGTGGTTCGTAGTGCAGTAATATGCCGACTTACACCTCCCCTATTTACGTAGTTTAGCAAATAGGTCGTCACTTGAATGATACCACTTCCTGAATCCGTCGCCTCAACCCACACTTACGTTGCTGACAGCATCATCTGCCCTTTGTCGTATCCACCGCCTCGGCCTTCACCTCCGCCTACCCTGTAAATTACATTGATTTAAATCGTTTCGATATTCGTGGCACCTTTCAGGAACGCATCCCTGACGTAAACCGGGATATTATTGTGTATTATTGTGTATACTTTATGCGGTACTTTGTTCTTGAATTCATGGCCTTGTGTGCTCCCTCTTGTGGATGCCATCCGGCAGCAGTGGCATGAACAAATAATTACAGGGCTGCATCTTTACCTCTTAAACTGTTGATAAAAATGCGGAGCTTCTGGAACAACGTGTAAACCAATCACATGTATTATTATTATTACTATAACCCAACTCAATTAAGGCTTTCCACCCATTATCTACTACCCTCCCTCTGGTTCTCGCTGCCGCTGTGCCCTATAGGCCTGTGATTCAATTTAAAACATTAAATAGGTTTACATGTGCACTGTACAGTATTTGTTTGATGAGATTGCCCTGTAGCGGATCGCATTAGCATTTCTTGGCTGTTATCATGTAAGCATCAAAATATACTTAATTAGCTGTGGCCTTCACCGTTATTGCACAAGGGTGTGCATTTTCAAAGCTATCGTGGTGAGATGTATGAAAACGAATTTTGGGGGGAAAAAACTTAAATCACAACTCTATGGAGCTAGTGTTTTCTAAAACTGCCATTCCATCCGTTTGAATTCATTCTCACATTAACGAAGTAAAATGTGGATGCGGTATTACAATGATATAACAGATACAAAAAAAAAACCTTGGTCCGCACCACAGCCTGCTGAAAAACAAACCGTAGTTTCCACATGCTGTAGGACAGCGGATTGTGGCTTTGTGTGCTGCTGCTGACGCTGCTGGGATGTGTGGGTGCATCTCCTCCCACAGGTGAATTCTAAAGCTGATTGCACATCTCGCAGACCCTTTCCCATGCGTGATGCGGAGACACTTTCAGTGTCCAATCATAATTAGTGAAATACTGTGGGGCTTTTTTGTTCTTTGACACAGCCATGTAACATGATTATTTTCCATGACTTTCAATGAAAATGTATCAATGAAAGGTGAAATGGCGAATGAAATGAAATGAAATATAGATCTCGTAACGTAAACGCGTACAGCGGTGACGTGTGGTGAGGTCAATGGCTGGGGAGGCACTGGCTCGTGTCAGAGCCAGATTCACACACTGAAGGGGGCGTGGCCTCACGGAGGGGGCGTGTCCTCACTGAGGGGGGCGTGTTAGATACGTCCCCCTCAGTGAGGCAGATGTGATAGCTGCCTCCCCTGGTGCTTTTTTATTGCAGTTTCGTGACGAGACCAGCGAGCCTAAATATCTTTATACACATACGTGAAATAAGTTACCTGGAGTTTGGAAGGCGAGGCCATGAAATGAAGGGGTCTACACACATTACATTGGTGACATACTGAGATAGTAACAGGCACGCGCTTATTGCCCGCGCTCCATCCAGTTACTGAGGGGTTGTGCAATCAGAGGGGAGGCTGAGCTCGTCGCTGCCTCACCTCTCGTCTCTTCTTGTATTTGCAGCGGAGCTCTGCAAATTTGGCGATTTTGACGATAAAAATGATTGGAATCGTACAGAAATTACATTTATAACACAGATAAGTGGAAAAATCTTTATTTACTTAATTTGATTATTCTTTTTTTTTTACTTTTCGTAACAGCTATTTTCATTGGAGTATGATCGGTGAGGCTTTGCCTCCCCTGCCTCTTCTGACCGCATGTCCCTGGCGTACAGTACGGAACAAATACCAAATCTCGTGATTGAATAGCATTATTTAAAAAATGGCCTTGCGAAAATGGAAGCCCGCTGATTGAAATTGCGCTGATTTTAACTGCACGTAAAAGAACCAGGTCTGCTTCTGTGGGATCTACGCGCAAAATCAAGCCTGTATACCATAGACGTTTTTGTCAAGGTTTTTCAAACAATAAACAGCAGATGTGCAGCAACCAACAATCACAACATAACACAACAAAAGTCTGGGAATGCTTTAAATAGCTGACACTTCAAGTTAAATGTGGAGCTCGATATGACCTCCCCGCCAACACTTTCCCAGCCGCCTTCTGACCCCCTCTTCGCCACCGTGTGCGTGGAAGTTTTTTTTTTTAGCCGTCCTCTCGTTGATAGCGTTTGGTGTCTCACATCAATAGCTGTGAAATTGCTTGTTCAGTCATGCATGGAAAAAGCATCGGAGCATTTGTCAAGGCAGAACGCGCACTGGGCATTCGTCAGCTGCAGCAATTCAACCCGCTCGAGCGTACACACACACACACGTGGCTCCTTTGGATTGTTTTTATTTTCTGCAGAATGCTATGTATAAAGACCCTGGCGGATGGGGCCAAATTCAAACCACATGCCGGTGAAATTTCTGCCCTGCGCAAGCTTTTATGCAATGTGTGTGTGTTTTTTTTTTGTATTTCACTGGTCACGTCCTCTTGGCTTGCATAGGTTATATTGATAGCATCCCACCCTGGTTTCCGGCGTGCAGACTGTTTTGTAATTATGGCATGCACAAGCGCTCTTGCATCACCACCACCACCCACCTACCCCTCCTCATGTGGCTGCCACTTGGTACAGTCCAAAGTGATTCCTCCCGGCCAGGATTAACCACAGCACCAGTTGTGAAATTGTGTTCCCGCGTTAGCAGCACAAGTCTGCTAGATCACCCAATTTGTTCACCTCTTACCTTTAATTTTGTAGTTTCGCATGTATATTTAAACTTGCTTTTATAATTGTTTTCGTATTTATTTTGGAGCAACTGTAACGCAGAGCGTGTGCGCACGCGATGAACAGATATTCTGACATCCAGGATGCAGCTCACCTTCACTGGAGAGAGGCTTCGGGATTCTGCCTATGAATGCGCTGCATTAGTCCGGGCCAGCTGTTGTGTCCAGCAGGAGGCTTCTACGCACTGTGCCGCATGTCGACGGATCACCTCTACGCCTCCGTTTATGTGATGGGATGGCTTGAACCGAGCCACAGTGCTGCCTGCGCGCTGTAGCAACCTTACAGCAAAATAACAACAACAGCAACAACAGCAGCAGCAGCGGCAGGAACAACAAAGAGAGTGCTCCCGGGAAGCTGCTGCTTCAGCCTGGGAGTTGCCGTCTGCCTGCGGATGTCCCATCCAGCACGGAGGAATCCGTCCAGTGCTCGGGGAGGCGGGGGGGGGGGGGGGGGGGGCCGCGGTGGCCGCGCGGCGGTGACAACAGTGTGCAAAAATCCATCTTTTTGAGACCGCCTCGGAGCAGTGCGGAACCACGCGGAGGGAGATCCACCGTGGGGTTTTTTTTAGCGCCCATGGTGCCTGTGCGTGGATGCAGAGTCGGTGCCCCCGCGCACGCGGCGTGACACCGTGCTCATCGTCTGGAGAATAGATTTTTTTTGTTGCGGGCGCTGCTGCGAGGCGAGAATTTGTTTTTGTTGCGGAGAGCCTCGGTCAATTGGTTCCCTCGACTTTTGTAAAGCGGCATGTGCGTTCATGCTAGAAGAAGGCGCTCTTCAAAGCCGTTTGGAACATAGGCGAATGATTGTGTGCGATTTGGCATTGAAATGAAGAACAAAGGCACACTGGTCTCATGGAGTTTAGCGACACAGTTTGAAGAAGCGTTTGTGAAGACATAAATCGATTTACTTGTCATTGCCTGAGGTAAGAACACAATAATTGTCCTCTTTTTTTCACGCGGTATTTAAACTATGCGCTGGTAAACGTCAATGCGCGTCGCTGGCTGAAGCAATTTATAGTGAACGTGTAAGCTGGCCCTTCCGGAGCACAGCCCGCCTCTGCAAAGCCGCAGCAGGTGAAGCCAGAATGTCGGCAGCACAGGCAGACGGTGACGAGGGATGGATGGGCGCCGCGCTGCTCCCGGGCAGCTCGGAGGGCCCCCCCCGCGTGCGGCCCCCCCGCACAGGATCGGAGCCTCGGAGGAAGACCGTGTACCGTATCTGCGTCACGATGGTGAAACACGAGTCCCTGGAGGAGACGGGAACGGACGAGCGGCCTCCGGGTGACGCCGCCACCACCGCCGCCTTGCTACGGACCGATGCTCCCACGGGCGGCGGCAAAGGGCGCGAGTGCACGGCGTGCGCCTCCGCTGCCACCGCCGAGGAGAGGGGGAGCTGCGAACGAGGAGAGGGCCGTCGATGGGAAGGATGTATCGAAGGGGCCAGCGGTGGAGTCTGTCCAGCGTTTGCAGCGGGGATTGGTGCTGGACACGGGAAAGTGCAGGCACTCGATTCACCGCATGGAAGGTGCGAGGAGGTGCGCACGATCCCCGAGCAGGTGAACGTCAGAGAGAGAGTTAGCGTTTACGAGCACATTGCCGATGGTGCCAAGGTGGGATCGGCAGGTTCAAAGGGACGTGCCGCGGCGTGTCCAGAAAAGCACACGTACGTGCGGGAAGTGGACAAAACCCTTGCATCTGCAGAGAGGAGCTCGCGTGTTGTATTAGCCACGGGAGAGTGGCCTGGAGAGCGTTGGAGTAGAGAAGTGGCGTCGCCCAACTTAAAGGGCCACGATCAAAAGGCCGTGTGTGAAAAGGCTCCCGTAAGTCTCGCTGTCAATCGTGGCCTAAATAAGCGTACGGAATGTCTGATGGGACACTCGGTAGACACGTTGAGCTTCTCAAACAAGGATCAGATTTCCAGCGCTGATCGCAGCTGCTCACCTGTATCAGCATTGGCTGATGAACATGGATCCGGCTCATCTGGCAGCAGAAGCTGCTCCAAAGTTGGGCTCAGGTGCAGCAGGGCCCAGATGCGAGATTGTAACGTGAGAAGGCGACCTGCCAGTGCTTGTGCATTGAGCACATACGAAAGCCAGAGTACCAGGGCTAGGGATGCCACGATGTCAGCAGGGATGCAGAAAGTTGAATGCCAGAGGAAAGTCAAGAGCGCCAGTGGACATATTTGTGTCGGCAGAGGATTGACGGTGGATGGGTCGCAATATCATAGCCTGGTTTCGAGTCAGAAAGATGTAGATAAATGTCTGTGTGCCCTTAAGGTTGGTCCCTCCGGAGCGATATCTGAAGCGTGCTTTCGTCACAATGTGGCGAATTTGGCAGAATTGTGCTCGGCACAAAAAAATGCAGTTGATGATGTCAACAAATTGGCTTATTCCAAATTGCCTAAAGCAGACTATGAAATAGGAACAGCCGAAATGATGGCTGTCATGCCAATTGGCCAGAGCGCCATGCAGGGGCAATGCATTGTGGGTAACACTGATAAGCAACCTGTGACAGCTGCTTCTGCAACAGCAGCCTCATTCCATGATATGCCACAGCTATCATGCACAGCGAGTGCTCGGAATGTTTGGGGTGATGAAGAGAATAAGTCCGTGCTTAACAGTGATATGCAACAGAGCCCAAAATCGAATCGGGGTATAAATCACTCCATTTTGAAAAGAGAAGATGCTGTGGATAGGCCTGGCAAGCCAGGGGACAAGGCTCCACTTCCCGGTGGAAGCGGAGGGGATGGCTCCTTCCCTGCCACAGGATCCCAGGCTCCGTGCGAGCCCATCAATGGAGACAAACCGACGTCAGCAGCTGCTGAAAGGGTAATTGAAGAAGCATTGCAGGGAGCACGCACAGATTTTAAATCACTTGAAGATGACTCGACTGGCCCGGACATGTCTGGCACAAGTCAGAAAAGGCCCACGAGTCTGCTCTTGCCAGGCGCCACGGGCTCGGGCAGGAGGGAGGTGCTGAGTGATCTGGATTCTCCCTTGTGCCATGACGGGCAGCCATTGCAAGTGCCGTGCTCCCTGAGCAACGACCTGCAGGAGCTCACTCTGCCCAACAGGGAATCGGACCATTCAGTGAACCACAAAAACAAGTTTCTCACACCTTCGAAGTCAACTCCTGGACGACCACAAAAAAGCTTCAGCTTTCGGCTGCTCGGGGGGAGGGATGCGATGGTGCAACGGAGAGCGGAAAGCCAAGACAGAGCAGAGCGGTACTTAGGAAAAACGTGTCAGGTGCCCGACTTGACAAAAGGAAGGTCCGTGGAGAGGAAGGTAGTGCCGACCGTGCGCCTTCACGAGAAGCGGAAAACGGTGGATGTCGGGGAGGTGCTCTCCAAGACAGACACGCTGCTTCTGCTGCTGCATGGTAACCATCAGCCGCACATGCAGCCGGAGCGCGCGAGCCAGACTCCTCGATCTGTCTCCAGCGAGGAGGACAATGAGATGCCTTCAGCCGGACCAGGACCCGCAAGCACCAACTCGCTCTCGCCGATGGAGAAGACCGGCGCAGATGACCCGCACAAGCTGCGCAGGTTCTTCAGCGGTATTTTGGGACAGAGGGACTCGGGGTCGCACCTCTGGTTCGGCCTTGGGAACTACCGCATGGACGAGAAAGGAGGGAAGGCCACGGCTGAGGAAGCGGCGGACATCGATAGAGGCTCTGAGCCGGAAATTCGCATTCACTTGGACAGCATCAGCAACCCTGGGGGCAACGACACGAGCGGTGAGTTTCTCCCAGAGCCTCTCTCTGTGCATTAATATGCATTGGCTGTTGCCCCCTTTTCCCCCCATGACGTCCGCCACAAGAGCAGGTAACATACGGTCATAATGAGATGCCTTAATGGAAACGACTCGCCAGTCTGCCTGCCTGCTCCGGGCTGATTCTTGGAGTGGAACGGTACTAATTCAGACATTCACGCTTCTGCCATGTTAACGTGCACGAATTGAACAAAACAATGTATAGGCCAGCTGAACATCTGCCCAATTTGTGCAGGGCATTACAAAAAAGTGTGCAGTCTTGCATAATCCTTTAAACAAAAAAAACGTAATCTGGGTCACCTCACGCATCTGACAGCTGTGACTTGCATTTGCTTAATATAAACAGAAGACTGAAAAGCGTTGTAGTTTCGAAACTGGCTTATTAAAAAAAGTTATTGCGCGCTGTGAAGTTGAGCACACATCTGACGTTAATGTCATTTTCCCCTGGCTTTTGTTGTGCCCCTCGCATCCCAGTGAGCCACCCGTCGGTGGGCCACTCGTGTTCTAGTGAGCCACCCGTCGGTGAGCCACTCGTGTTCTAGAGAGCCACTCGTGTCTTAGTGAGCCGCCCGTCGGTGAGCCACTCGTGTTCTAGTGAGCCACTCGTGTCCTAGTGAGCCACTCGTGTCCTAGTGAGCCACTCGTGTCCTAGTGAGCCACTCGTGTCCTAGTGAGCCACCCGTCGGTGGACCACTCGTGTCTTAGTGAGCCACTCGTGTCCTAGTGAGCCACCCGTGTTCTAGTGAGCCACTCGTGTTCTAGTGAGCCACCCGTGTCTTAGTGAGCCACTCGTGTCCTAGTGAGCCACTCGTGTCTTAGTGAGCCGCCCGTCGGTGAGCCACCCGTCGGTGAGCCACTCGTGTCTTAGTGAGCCGCCCCTCGGTGAGCCACTCGTGTCCTAGTGAGCCACCCGTCGGTGAGCCACCCGTCGGTGAGCCACTCGTGTTCTAGTGAGCCACCCCTCGGTGGGCCCCCATGCCCTTTGTCAGTGCGACCCCATGGGCCACAGGCATTCTCATTTGCCCTGATGCCCTTCCCGTCGTTAATGAAATCCAGGGCGTGCATATCCAGGGCCTTTAGTTGACAATGGCACCACGAAGCAGAGGTCAGACGTGCGGCAGGAGAGGTGGCATCAGGTGCCTGAAGGAGTGGCACCGACCGAGATAAGCCTCTTAGCACGCGCGCCGAGGTGTCTCCCTGTCAATTTGCCGGGTTGTTTGTCTTGGCTTCATTCAGCGGGGCTCGGTTGATGCGGGAAAACAACGCTTCTCATGTGTGCCTCACATATCTCCTGTATTGGTAAAAATCAATGAAGGGCATTTGTATTTTACTGTGCTGACTTTTTTGTTGTTAATGTAGAACATTTACCTAGGTTTCATGTTATTAAATTCACCCTGCTTTTTCGTAATGTGGCAATTGGCCAATTCTACATGTGGAAAGGTAATTTGCACAGTGAAACGACTGCGCTGCTGAGAGATCGTTAATCCAATGTCATCAGAGGACATGGCATTGTAATTGCGTGCATGTTGCTGCACGTGGCCATGGTCAGCACAATAACAGGAGCAAAATCTGATGACAGCGCTGTCTTCGGATTCCTCCTTTTGTTCTCTGCTCTGCTCTGCTCCATTTCTCTGTGGTCCCTGTGGAGAGGACAGCCAGGTAATTAGAGTTGTTTTGGGGGCCTTGCCTTCCATCACTGTGATGAATATGTGTCGTTTGGCTTCAGCTCTGACGTGGGCATACTTTGGTGGCGCTGAAGTGAAAAAATTGGCTCCGCGGGTCCACTTGAAAGTGCACCGTGTGTCCACAAACCGCGACATTAAAGAAAGCTTTTGTAGTCCCCGCGAGATCCTTTTTTTTTCGTATAAAAATATATTTAAAGAACGAAAAATGAAAACGGCAAAAACCCCCGAACCAAACAAGCATTAGGGTTTTAATGAAACGCATGCCTGTGTGTCGCCGCGTTTTGGAGTATTTGTTGCGTGAAATGTATGCGGTGTATAGGCTCTTGAGCAAACAGAATGCAAGGGAAACATGAAAGACTACGGGGAAGGCCGTTTTCTCTCGAGCGATGCTAAATATGCGATCTGAAGGAGAGCCTTTCTTGGGGCGCAGCAGTGCGTGACCTGGTGTCTGGCCAGAGCCAGCCCTTTCATTCGCGGCCGCTGGCTGAAACGACGCTCTAGCACTCTGTCCGTGCCAGAATAATTAGCGAGTGCGAGTAGCGGTTCACGGTTGTGGAGAGGGGTGGTGCTGTGGGATGGGGTGACATGACGTGCGCCGCTCAATTGTATCCCCTGTTGGGGAATGAGGGCTGGCTACGGCACAGTTTGTCTGTCCCCGAGGCCTGTAGGCTCCATTATGGGCAACAGTGCAAAATGTCAATACTGAGTTTACTAGCAAGGTGGTCTCGATTTGGGTTTGTTTCTCTTTTGTTCGCTATTGGAGTTTTTTTTTAGTCTCAGTGAGGTAGTGAGAACGCGGTGCTTTAGACAACTTCCCAAAGACATTTGGCAAACAAACAAATCCAAAGGCATTTTGTAAAAAAAAGTGCCTGATATTTTAACTCTGGGGAGAAAAAAACACTCCAAAAATGTTAAACATTATTACATATTACATTTTTGTGCTATAATTGAATGATTAAAATGTAAATTATAGTTTTTTTTAAAATACATTTTACGTGTCTCATCATCAACTTCTATAACGTGTAATTTTACTTCCATTTCATGGGTTACACATATATTAAATACACCCCTTGTTTATGATCCACGATACTTGCTCATTCGTATGTCGTCACTGTGCTGGTGTGACTTTCCATGGGAATGCGTGCCTCCTCACCCAGCCGATCAGCCTCCTCCTCACCCGAATTAAACCATCGGGTCACTTGTTTGGGTAAACAGCTTACGCCAAGGGGATTGCGGCTACTCGTCACCAAGAACAGGCAGTGCATGTGCGCACTTTCCACGTCAACTCCACCCAAGTGAAATGTAGATGGGAGTGTGTGTACGTCCGAACCATGGATACGGTTTAAACGTGGTGCTCGTGCGCGCTCCGGCTGCAGCACGAACGCGTGCAGACACCACAACAAACGCGCCCCTCAATCGCCCGAAGCGTTGACGTGCTTCGCGCGTCATCGCTGAGATGTTAACTACTTCACCTGGCATGCAGGAGGTCGTGGGTTCAATCGCGATCCTGACGCCTGTATATTTGGAGTTTGCGTGTTCTCTCCCCGTGGTCACGTGGATTTTTCCCCGGGTCCTCTCCATTTAGAATCAACACGCGTTTATAGTATTTAGCTGCTATAGATTTCCACGTAATAAGCCACTTCGTTTAGCTTCTGAACACGAGCTATATAGCTCAGTGGGCCTTACCTGGTAAAAATAAAATAAAAAAAATTGTTTAGTTTGTATTCATCAGCAAACCTTGCGCTTGTTAGAGCCCGCTGGTAATTAAAGCGTGGCTCCACTGCCCCACAACTTTCAATCCGCGCCTCCGTCGGGTGTTAACCACTCGTGCGAGATATGCACGTCACTGCTGAGGTGTTAGCAGTGTGTGTCATTAACTGTACTTTTTTTGTGACACGTGGTTTCGGTCACATTATGCAGGGGAAATTAAACAGCTCCCGAAGATTATGTCTGCAGGCGCAGGGTTTTTTTTTTCTGTCAGCAGGTGTAATTCCCAAGTCTCTCTACCTCATCTCATTTAAATGTATGTGAACCAATATCGACCATTTTTACAGTGATCTTTATAACTAAATTGTATGCTTTGCAGTGCGTTTTTGTCTGTTTCTCAAGTGTGTGCCAGGTGTAATATTTACTACAATAGGAACAAATTGTGGCATATTTACTGAGATTGTCTGGCTGATGTCAGTCGCTCTGAGTGCCATAAAAGGAAATATTTGCCCTTCTGATGTGGTCGGTGGCATTTGACATGAATTTGCAATTGATCTCAAAGCGCTTCGATGATGCAAACAGATAATATTCTGCTGTAATATTGACATTCAAGTACCAGCATAATGGTTCCATAATTTAACATTTTCCAACCTTGACACTTGACGCTAATGAAAAGGAATGACCCTAGGCTTGCAGAATGGGGCTTTTGGCGCATCCACGCGGCCTCCGTGAGCTGCCAGGAATAAACACATCACACAGTCTCTTGACGTACTGTGGAAGGGTAGGATTGACTCTGGCCAGCCAGGAATATTTTTCGGCGATCAGCAAGTGGGGTACTTGTCTTCTGCGTGGCGGCAGTGACTGTGTCAGAGTGTCAGCATGCATCTGTGATTGCTTCTGCAGCTGCGGGCTCTGCTGGTGATGCAGGACTCGCTCAGGCTTCTGAATCGGCAATTTCCCTGTGTTCAGCTTGTAACTGTGATGCAAATGCTTCATATTGACGGTGCTGCTCAGACACGACTTTCAATTCACGGATGGGTGAATGTGAATATGAACAATTATAACGCATTTTTTGGAACGAATTTTTTTTTTAAATAAATATATGAATTTACTCCCGAGTGAGGAAAGGGCCTGATAGTTGCTTGGTGTAAAAAAGCCTTGCTCATAGTATACATACATTAATGCACACGTGGTTCTTGTTATCCGGCACCAATATTAATGTCATTTCGAGGAGCAACACACATCAGAGGTCGCAGCCAGGCTCTATAATGATTGGAGTGGCTGTGGGCGGCAGAGCTTTCTTTGACGAGGCCCAGCCGACTGATTGTCGAGATGGGACGCATTCAGTGATAAGCGAGCATGTTGTCTCTCACTTACCCACACACGCCAATGCCCTTGCCACTGACGCGTATTGGACAGACACCAGACCGCAAAGAACAGCCACGTTCCCCCGACACATTTCCCCCCGACACATTTCCCCCACGGACGACTATTTAGGGCGGCAGGAAAACGGATGGGGGCCATCGTCTCACCGTGCAACGTGAGCCGATTTGGCGTGTCCACTTGCAAGGTT